CACACACACACACACACACACACACACACACACACACACACACACACACACACACACACACACACACACACACACACGATAGCTTGGAAGTGAGGACTGGGGATAATACTGTCAGAACAGGAGAATGCCTGGATTGGTGTCTAATACAACAGTTACGTTGGAACCTAAGCTGGTGGGAGATGCTGAGCTGCTAGGATGCCACCTATCAAGTAACCGAGGCACCCCATCTTCAAAGCTCAGTATGAGAGGATTCTCCCCCAATGCGGAAGCGGCTCCCCCAGAGCAGACAAAGCCCTAGACCTCCACGAGGCCACACTGGCTCCCGCCGCTTTCTGGCATTCCAGCCTCTCTCCTACCTTCCTCTGCCTGGGTCTGCTTTCTCTCTCCCCGACTCACCCAGGTCAGCCATTCCCTAGAGCCCCCGGCCCCCACCCAGCGCGGGTGCCAGGGCTCTCCCGGGCCTCACGATCAGCTGGGAACCGGGGTCGGACCCGCCCGAGCAGCTGCCAGGGGCGCGCGTGCCGTGACAGCGCTGCGCCTCGAGCCCGGGCGGCTCTCTCCCACTCGCCTCGCCGCCCCTCCCGGGCTCCCTCCCACCGGGGCCATCAGCCCACCTGGGCTCGACCTTTCCGAACGAGTGTCGCGCCCAGACGCGGGGCTCCAGGGACCTGGGCCTTGGCTCTGCCCGGCTCCCCACGGCTGCCTTCCACTCCACCACCTCCACCAACATCAGCCCCTCTGGACGCCGCCATCCTGGGCGGCTGCACTGAGCTCCATTCCCGTTGCCAATTGGCTGTTACCTAGGCAACCGGGAACAACGCCACTCCCCATTGGTCCCGTTCCTTCTCCTCACCATCTGGGTGCGGGGCTCTGTCAGCAAGAGGGTGGGGCTGTGGTCCCACCTCACCAACTCCACAGACACGGAGGACGCTGGTCTCGCGTGGCCGGAGACAGCGCGCGCGCGCACACACACAATTAACCCCAAATAAGACCAAACATGTGTCTATGTTACCACTAGCTCCCATCCTTCAGGCTTGTAAAAACCTGGTTGCTGAGTTTAAGGACAGAAATCTGCTGTAGAGGCGGATTGTAATTTTTAATGTGCTAGACAGGGCAACTGACCCTTAATAATCCCATGCCTAGCAATGTGGTATCAAGACACTTGTGGCATTCCTTGTAATGTGTTGTCATTACCCAGATCCATTGTTTTTGGTCGGTCCTGGGTCTTGAACTCAGGGCCTGGATGCTGTCCCTGAGCGCTTTCGCCCAAGGTTAGCGTTCTACAACTTTGAGCTGCAGCTCCACTTCTGATTTTCTGGTGGTTAATTGGAGATAACAGTCTCATGGACTTTCCTGCCTGGGCTGGCATGGAACTGAGATCTTCAGATCTCAGCCTTGAGCCACCAGTGCCCAGCTTTTCAAATTGCTTTTAGTGGATTGAGGTTTCTTTATTTGTAGACTAGAAAATGATAAAGTTAACAGCCATTGCATTTCTCCAGGATTATTATGAAAATGTGAGATAAATAATAGTTTCTTTAAAAACTTGGATTCTCATGTTAAGCAAGGTAAGCCAAGAGCAAAGAGACAAACGGTACATGGTCTCCCTGATAAGTGGATGCTAAATCCAAAATGTTAGGTGATAACGACAAAATTAACAGGACTTAAGAAACAAAGACTCCCACTCATCTGGTTGAATCATTACTAAATATCCCCATGCTGCTGATCACATGTATGGTGTACATGTGTACACCGTTATATATTATAGACTGTGATAGACAATTTGCTCCAGGACAGTTAGAATGAACTTGTGACTTTAAATGAACATCATTATTTCACAATACTGTGAAATTTGGGAAATTATGTAATCACTTAATCACAATTAAAAAAAAAAAGAACCTCAGGGAAGGTAGGGAGGGAAGGGATGGTGGGGGAAAACAATGGAGGGGGTAACAATGCTCAATAGGAAGTGTACTCATTACCTTGCTCGTGTAACTGTAACCCTCTGTATAGTATCTTTACAATAAAAAATTTAAAAAAAATAAAGGGAAAAAATAAAAACTTGGATTCTGTATTCAAATTTCATCTGTCATTAAATGTAAACGCTTTTGACCAAGTTATTAAGACTGTAAAATGACATTGGATCAGCAAAGGTGTAAGATTCAATCTGGCACTACCATTTGGTGGTCCATTCATTAGTTAAATATGCCAAACTGTGTGGTATTGACTATAGATGTAATTTTAGTTGTCGAAATAATGGAGTGTCAAGAAAATAGATGTTACTAGAATGTAGACTGTATATTACAAAGTATAAAGAAATAATACTTTGAGGGCTGGGAATCTGGTTTAGTGGTAGAGTGCTTGCCTAGCATTCATGAAGCCCTGGGGAGGAAAGTATCCATGAAACTCTTATCTCCAATAAACTATTCAAAAAAGCCAAAAGTGGTGCTATGGTTCAAGTAGTAGTGAACACAAAGAAGTCCAGGGACAGTGCCAATCTAGGGCCAGTCTGCCTAGATTTGAACCCAGCTCTGTGAACCCAGCTCTGCCACTATCATGGGCAAGTTATTTTACCTCTGTATGCCTCAGTTTCCAACATCACAGGGGTTTCAATACCAGTTATGTGAGTCATTTTGAGTAATCGACTTAAATGATGCCTGGTACATACTTAGCATTTGGTAAGTGACAGGGAACATTTGGACTCTGTTCAGTAAAAAAGAAATTAAATTTGAAGAGGTATACACAGAAATACATTCCAAGAATGTTTCCATAGAGGAAAAAAAAAAAAAACCTCAGAATTCCAGGGAGAGTTCTCAAACTGGGACCTCTCCTTGACTGTAACTTGAAGTTTGTGAGTTAAATGAGATGAATGAGACTGAGATATCATTTTTGTGGCTATGGGTTCTGGTACATGAGAGGCAGACATCACTTAATTATTTGGTGTCTGGACATCAAAAGGAAATGCATTAGTTGTTAATTGAAAGAAGCAGTGGAACTCAAAATAGATTTTTGCCTAGAGTGGTTTATTTATTTATTTTTTAAATTGGGGAATGAATCCAGAACATACTAGGTAAGCAGTAACACTGAGCAACTGAGCTGCTCCTCTAGTCCTAAGACACTCCCATAAATACAAATGAACAATAATTCTTTCAATTCAGTACTTGTACTGAGCTGTGGCAATAATCTGAATTCAGGAATGATTATGAAATACCGGTTACCATGTAACTAATGGTCTTTTGTGAAAATCCATACCTCTAGTCTGGAGATTACTTTGGGCAGAACAATGAAAACATTAACAATTACCTCAACAGTGACCAAAAGACTAGTGGAGTGCCTTTTTATATAATAAGCATCATAAGTACTTTATATACATTGCATATTCTTGTTTAATCAAGTGAGATAGGGATGATCATTTTCATTTTATAGGTGAAAAACAGGTTTGAGAGATTAAGTAATTTGTGAAAAATGATTGTCATTTTAGAACTAGCATTCAAATTAAATGTCTCTGATTCCAAATACCTGCTACTAACCATTACATCCCACACTTTAACTGTAATTTTTTTTGTCTTTTCTTTTTTGGTACTGGGGATCAAACCCAGGACATTGCACTTACTAGACAAGAGCTTTGTCACTGAGCTACATCCCAGCCTTCATCCCACACTTTAAAAAGGCAGTTAGTTGGGATACAGGTGGACCCATTGCAACAATGAGATGTATAAGTCCTTATGTTGCAAAACGAACTTTACAACTTTGGTAGTGGGTAGGGAGAGGATTGGGTGGGGGAGGGAGGGAATATGCGGAATATGGGAAGGGGAAACAAAGAGGAGGCAACAATGTTTGATAAGAAATATACTCGCTATCTTGCCCATGTAACTGTAACTCCTCTGTATGGTATTCTCACAATAATTTTTTTTTTAAAGGCAGTTGGGGGCTGGGAAAGTGGCTCAGTGGTAGAGTGCTTGCCTCGCATGAGATCCTGGGTTTGATTCCTCAGCACCACATAAACAGAAAAGGCTGGAAGTGGTGCTGTGGCTCAAGTGGTAAAGAGCTAGCCTTGAGCTGAAGAGCTGAGGGACAGCACCCAGGCCCAGAGTTCAAACCCCATGACTGACCAAAAAAAAAGGCGGCGGTGGGCGCAGCTCAGGTGGAAGACAATCAGCCAAAGAAAGGAAGGAAGGATCAGATTCCAAGTTCGAGTCCCAGTTTCAAACAACAACAATACAAAGGATAGTATAATATTTCATAGATTTAAATATCTAATTCCAACTATTTGTCCTCCTTCAGACGCCACCTATATACATTTCCTGGATTACTTCTGGGTGCCTGGGTCTCCATACCACTTCCTTGGGCAAGATCTGCTCTAGAAAGCTCCCTGTGGCCTTTCACATGCCAGGTACCTCTGCTTGGCTTTTCCTTGGTCCTTGGTAGTTCTTCTCTCCCCTCCCCCCACTCAGTCAAGCAGGTTGCTGTATGTTCTGCACAGCACTAACCTTCCATTCCTTTCCTCTAGCAACTCTGTTTACCTCCCAGTGATTATACACTTCCTCTGGATTCAGCACAGGCTTTGCTGAGTCTGGAGACTTCCTATTAATGGAGTTCCAGATAGCATATCTGGCTCTTTTGCTCTGAGGAAAAGAACAACATAACCTCCCAGAGAGCTGTTTTTCAACAGAATGAGGGGAGCTATAATCTTCCTTCTCTTTTCCACCAAAATAAATGTACTGAGGACCTACTGTGTCTAGACACTGAGGGCTTACATTGGCAAATAAAGCCTTGGATTTTTTTTGGTCTCACAGAAATTTAGAGCTTTCTTAGCTCACTGTTGTGAGGATTGGGATTAAACAAACAAAAAAGGCCCGCCCTCTCCCTTTGTTACAAGTACAGAGAGGGGTGTTTCTTTGCTTTACTACCGTCTCTCCAACACTTAGAACTTAGGTGATCAATTAGTGATCCTAAAATGACACTTTTGCAAGGCACTGATGGCTCACCTCTGTCACAGTCGCCACTCTCGGCAGATCGAGGCTTGAAGCCGGCCTGACCAGAAAAGTCCATGAGTTTCTCATCTCCAATTAATCAGCAAGGAGCCGGAAGTGGAGCTGTGGCTCAAGCGATAGAACGCCAGCCTGGAAGCGAAAAAAGCAGCCAAGAGAAAGCGTGAAGGCCTGAGTTCAAGCCCCAGTACTCATACCAAAGAAATGCCTTTCTTTTCCAAACCCTTGCCAGTCTCACAACCAGCAGGCACTCAAATAGCGACCCATAGGCAGGATGCTAGGAAAGCAACCAAGCCTCGCCAGCCAATTGGAATTAAAGGGCGGGGATGACCCAGGTTTGGCTTCTGGAACATGCGCAGTCTTCACGGAAGGTGACAGGATTAAAATGCTGAGGCCGCGATTGCGCAGCAGCAGCTTCTGATTGGCCACTGTGTGCGCGCGAGGGGCAGTGCTTACTCGCAGCCAAGTAAACAGGGTTGGATAGGGGCGGGGCCACGCGTGTGCCGGGCCCGGGTTGGCCAGGCGGGAGGAGGGGAGGAACACGGATTGGTTGTGGCCGCCAGCTCGGCTGTGTGGAACGCGCCGGGACCCAGAGCCGGCGGCCTGAGGGATGGACGAGAAGAGCCCACTAGTGTCCCCCGAGCGGGCCCAACCCCCGGAGTACACCTGCCCATCGGGTTCGGGCACTTACTTTCCGCAGGTGCCGGGGGGCGCGGTCCGCGTGGCGGTGGCGGCCGGCTCGGGTCCCTCTCCGC